ATCTTGCAATGTAAATTATCCACACACAACTTGAGGGAAATTCATTCTGAGACATTTCTATACTCAAAAGTTGATACACGTTCTCAGGTACATACAGAATGGGATACAAAAATTGTTACAGTAACCTTGCCCAGGTATAGAAACCTCCCTTGTGGAACCCCCTGATGGGGAGACCCCTAAAAAGTTCCATGCCAGCAATGAGATGAACCAGACTCTCGGTTTTTCGATCCTCAGGTTATTTTTTATTTTTCTCTTATCAAAAGTTCAGCACACTGTATACATGCCAGACTTAGCGTCTTACCTTGCAAAGAGAAGGGACCAAAAGTCAAAAGACTCAAGGTCTTTTAAAACTATTTCATCCAATTACTCTTACAATGTATTTTATTTCTACTTTTCTATCAATAACAAATTATTTTTCTCTCCACACAACATCTGCATTGTGGCTCTAACCAATCACTCTGTGCTTCCAACTGCAGAAAATGGAGTAGATGAAGAACGAGATCAGACAATGCCCAAAATCCTCCATCTTGTCTTCTATCTACCTCCATACTGAAAATCCAAAACTATGTTTTTCACCCTGTCATAAACTATACTACTATCTATTTCACATACTTGTAGATTCTAATTCATTCCAAAGTCTTGGAAGCTTTCTCCATGGACGAAAGTTAACAGCAGTGCTCTCCTGGGGACCAGGACTTCTCAGGACAGAGAAACATTCCCTGTGCCCTGGATTCCAACACCTAGGGACCTGGTTGAGTCACCAACCCTGAATGAATTTAAGAGATGAGCAGATGCGGCATTTACACATGGTTTAGTGATGCCATTGCTGGGTTAATGGTTGGACTGGTGCTCTTTAGGATCTTTTCCAACCTCAATGATTCTGTGACTCTATATACAAAGTAGACCACAACACTTTGCAATGAAGTACTAAAAATTCTTTGGGTTTCAAAAGCAAAAGTAGTTGCCAGTACATGTTTAGCAAGACACAGCCTTGGATACAGAGCACACATACACTAAGAAAAAAAAACATGACAAGATGACTGATGTCACCCTTATGTTTTAAGAAAACCACTACAGGAAGGCTTCTGTGGTCCAGGATTTTATTTTTTTTAAGGGAAAGACAGCAGTCATTGTTTCACGCACATGTATACATGCAGCATATATACATATATGTGTGCATGTTTGTATATAAACAAAAAGAAGAAAGAGTATATATTCTAATGTTTATGTGTATACAGGTATGTATAAGTATATAGCTCTCTAGAACGGATTTTCCAGAATTGTTACATTGCTATACAAACCAAGTTTACTAGTCACTGCTTAGCCTGACACTATCACTCATGTTTGGTCACTTCTGATGACTTGGAAATAAATGTGGAAAAAGTGTATGTATTCTTGTGCATTTGCAGAAATCTCTTAGTAGAATTTACTTCATCTATACAGCTTTGGTACAGATTTCCACCAGTTTGATCAAGTATAATGAATAAGAACTGCAAGAGTTGGCAAGGGCTGTGTATGGTTCAGTTAGGATTCTTGTGGCCCAGAAATCAGCTATGGAAAAATTTAATATTAGAGCTCTGATAGTGCCAGAACAATGTCTTCGCTTTAGCATAAACACTAGCAGAAATATTTTGGAAAATATGAACTATTTCACAAACTGGTACTGTAATTTACAGTTCGGGGTTTAGATTAATCTAAAACATTTCACTCAATAAATAGCTTCTATTTTTATTTTCATCACTTACACACATAGTTTAATACAGTACCATCTGCTCTCACAGACCTGATTTTAGTTTGACATATTTCACAGTTAATTTGATTCCTTATTTTATCATAAAACATGCATCTATTAAGTATATCAATGTTAAGTGAGTTTGTTTTGTGGAACTATTGCAAATCTCAGGCACTTTGACTTACTCAACTGATAAATAGGACTTTGATAAATTTACTGCAAAATTCCTGAAGATTTTCTCCAACTAACCCAATGACAGTTATCTCCCTAAAAATATGTCTGTGACATGAAAATAACAATTTCTTAAAAGCTACTTTTTAAAAAGGAAGCACTCCACAGGAATGGATACAGACTGAAGTGGAAACTTTCAGGAAAAACATGAGGCAGTCAGCATTATATATATATATATATTTACATTTACTATATTAGTAAATATAGTCCCTGTCTTTTATTCCTGTATCTTACATTTTGTCATTGATCTTTTATTCTGGTACAAACACTAGAAATTTTTGACCTTCAGTAAGTTCTCATTTGGTTCTGGGGAGCAAGAAAAATAAGCAACCCATAGCGTATTTTTTCCATTTTTTGTAAGGACTACATCCTTGATTCTGTCTTTGATTGTTTCCGATTTTTAAGTGAGATTTTTTAAAAATACCTTTTTCAAAATGAAAACAATAGCAAGTTCTTAGAAAATCTGTAATTATTGGTAGAAAGTAACAGAAAAGTTTAAACAGAAAACTACCAGGTGTGCATTTTTTGTTACAGTAAGACCAGCTTTTGTTGCTGCATGTCTAATTTTCCTTGGATTACACCACTAGCTTGTGAACTTGGAATTCCCTCCTGACTATAATGTCAGTAAGAAGATATAGCCCCCAACGTAAGATTATGGAAATAGTTTCTGATTATACATTGATAACATCAGGTGTTCAATGTGGCTAAATGTTTCAGTTTCAACAATAATTTTTAATTTGTGCAAATAATAAAGAAAGCAAAACCATATTTTAATTCTTACTGCTTTTGTGGATGGTGAAGAACAGGTTACAAAAATAAAAGGGAAAAATACCAGAAAGAAAAACAAACATGAAAATTAATTCAACATCTTATGTTCTAAAAGAAAATAAATCGGGTTTTGAAAAGGGCATTCTGACAGTGGCACACCCCTCATCCCCATCCCATCCTTCCAGGGCTTTATTGTTCTGCTTCAGAAAGCAGCACACATTCATGCTTTAGCTCCAAATCCAATCATTGGTGAAGTCACATGTGAGCTTAGAAGAACAGGACTTGGTCTTACCCAAGTCTTTTTTAACTTACATGATTCTGTGATTCCATGGTAACATTTATATGGGCCAATTTTACCTGATACAGCATTTCTATTTTGGGGCATTTTTTGTCTTTGATATATGTACCCCTAAGTATTTTTTGCTCGATACCGAGAGTCTTGTATTAAGCATATTTGCAAGAGGCTTGTTATTTTGGGCTACTTATCTTCTTTTCTTTCCTACTTTACCAATATCACATCTTAGTGTTTAGAGACAGCACAGCTAATGCATCTCTGTAAAGAGGTACAGCAAGATTTACTTGAGAATCACAGTGAGAGACATCTCTCAGCTCAAAGCTGATGACTGTTCATTGAGGCTAAAAATCTGGAGGCAGCCAGATACTGGCGTTTGGTTGCATCACTTTTGCATGCAACTGGCTGCAGAAGTTGGTGAACAATAACAACATTAAGCTGACAGGTCACAGATATTATGCTGGACTGCTGTTCGTATGTACTGATAAGAAAATACACTAAAGAAAAATTGCTGTTGAAGCATATTTAATTATACAGTAATTTGTGATACAGGAAAGGTGTCAGTTTTGAACATATATATATAAACTTACAGTAAATGAAGTGATCAGTCATTTTAAGGAAGGACAAGCTGCACTAAATCCAGTTTTAGTTGTATAAAATTTTTAAAAACTTTCCATAATTTAGAATTATTTATAGAATATACAGACTTTTATTGAAAGATGATACAATTTCTTCCTCATACTAGTTTGAAAATTGACTCACATTTTACACACTTCCTTTCTTATTCAGTGGGGAAACCTCCACAGCTTGTTCACTTGTTACTTGGTTTATTTGTTAATTTATTTGTTAAATTAGCCACTTCATGACTAATTTTGCATTAGTCCAGCTGTCTGAAGCCATAATTCAAGGCACAGAAATGCAGAGAAAAGACTTCTTTGTACAAACTCAGTAACACTTCACATACTGAGTCACATTTTCTCTTACAGGAAGTTTTCTCAAAATAAGAAGTAGTTTTTAAAAAATTAATAATAACAAATATTGATATTACTAGTCCTAAGGATACCAATAAGAAAGGATTAGGACTGACAGTAATACAGTGGAAGATAAATAATAAAATAACTGGCATTCTAAAAAGCTTCTCTAATCCCTAAGTAGCCCAGACAGCATAAGAGAGAATTACACGCTATATCAAGTCTGGTAGAGGTAGTGGTAAAGGTCACTGGAACTGTACATCAGATATTAGTCCATTTTTATAATTATCTAAGACAACTAGAAACATCTTGGAAATATGTTTCTTTATAATACAATGAAGTACCATGAATATATTATTCCCTTTGGTTTATGAATCAGGGATCACTGACTGCAGTATTTTTACCTAAAATGCTACCCTACCGTTGCTGTATAGCTATTGATAGGGGAAAAAATAAAAAACCTCATTAAAAGGATATATATGTGGATTGCGTGCACTTGCACAGAACTTACTACTTTATTTGGAGATCTGCATGTATGCACAGCTGAACAATGTTCCTTGAAGGACTAGCCTACAGATATTTTCCTTAAACTACATTTTAGCATCTTATACAGATTTATAACTGTAATTTTTTTTTTTCCTAACAGAGGATTTTCTAGTCAATACAAAAGTAGTTACACAGAAAAATACTTAAGCTGTGTAAGGCCATAATAGAACTTAGAAGCTGAAGTTTGTCTTATTAAGCCAGTAATATATGCTAAACAGGCACAAAGTGGTTGCAAGAACTTACATGATCAGAACATTTTTGAAGCATGTCATAGAAATTATTTCCTCAGAAATGTGTAATAAATTACAATTAAAAAGGGTCAAAAATACAGGATAAAATAATATTTCCATGCCAACTGAATAAAAATAATTTATTTACAGATCATGAGGAAAAACATAAAAGACCTTTCTTGTTCAAATAAATAAATGTATTAAGGGAACACGTTCACTAACTAAAAAAATAAATTTGTGTGATTTAATGAACAGTTCTTATGAACTAAACAAAACCATAAAAACATTCAAAGGACAAAAGTGCAATCATTTAATAAAGCTGATGTTTGCCATTTTACCTTTTAGGCTGAAGACAAGGTAGCCTTTTAAAGTAAAACAACAGAAAAAATTATGCATTCATTATTTCCACCTATAAATACATGCTTTAATTTCTAGATTTAAATATTTTTCCAAGTTCTTTTGCTTTAACATAAATTCAACACAGTATTATGTTAACATTTAAAATATGATGGAGCTAACCATCGCAGGATTTCTAAAATGAGTTCCAACTGAGCAATAGCTATATCCCCATTTAATAGTGCTTTTTCAGTCCTCTAGACATTGATCATAAACTTACTCCAAGGTAAAACTTTGTTAACAGCTAACAACCTTCAACCCTGAATCTTATTTAGAAAACAACACTGTTTCAAATTAAAGTTGCTTTACATGACACAAAAAATGTACAGAACTTAATACATTGATTCAGGCTACATAATTCGACTAAACAACATAAAATAAATTTTGGTTATTAAAATAAATGAAAAACAAAAGTACTGAAGACATCAGTGGCCTGCAGAGAGGAAAAAACTGGTGTGAAGGCAAGTCCCTGAACTTACATCCTTCAACCAGCCTCTCTACAAACATGGATATTCTCATGGCACCCTCAGTATGATAAAAATATTAGATATGAAAATAATTACTACACATGCACACATGTTGCTAATTCTGGGATGTGGATCCCAGAGACACTTTCCAAGAGATACTCCTGATGTTGTGACACTGGTAAAGAGAAGGCCAAGGCACAGCAACAGATACTGAAAATTAAGTCACCAAGATTATAGTCAAATTCTTCTACATAATGGGGGAAAACTATTAAAAATTTGTAGTCATTTGGGGAACTGAAGTTGGACATGAAGAGAAGTGTTTATCCAGAAAAGGAGGAAAAGCATGAGAACATGTGTCCCAGGATGGTGGTAGTACCTCTGTCCTGGAGCATTTTCACAGGCCAGCTACCCAAACCCACAGATAACAAATCTAGGGCTAGCCGAAGTCCATCTCTGCTCTGGTCCTTGGAAGGTTGGACAAAACCACTTCCAGAAATCCTTCCTGCAAATCACTTTATGTGATTCTCTGTATCCAGCCAAAACACTCTGCTCATGCAATAATGTTTAAGTAAACATTGCAACTCATTTACTGGAGGCCAAGACCACAGATCTGGTCAAACACAGTAGCTCAGGACACACACACAAAACACTGATCCCCAGTCCAGGCTCTTCAAGCTAACAACACTGAATGAGAGACATTTTTGGAACACAAGTAACAACTTATAGTCTTGATCTTATCCCAAGAAAATGCAAATGCCTACATGTTGAAGGCTCACACTTCACAAACCAAGCACTGTATCATCTTCCTCTCTTCTCCCTACTGCAAACACTTCCCAAATTAATTTCACGTCCATTTCTTTCATATGGACAAAGGGAAGGGTTCACACAAAGAACACAAAGAACTTAACTGAAGCTGTATTTTTTTTTAATAATATATGGTTAACAGCAAACAATATGTATGTGATTAGGCATGTTCCTGATACACTTTGTGTGTCCTGTATTCTCTGCCACATGCTTCAGATAAGTCTCAGAACTACAGTGAGGCATCCTGTACTGCTGTGTGGGAAGATGCTACAGTCCTGAAATCTCCTGCATGGAATTAGGTAGCATGTGAAGGTTCTGCTAGTACTTCAAAAAGTCCTCACCAAACATGTTTTGTCTTCTAGGGCTGAACTATTATACAGGGAAATAAAATGTCTTATTCATTCTGGCATTAGATTTCTCTCTCTTGGTAAAAAATTCTCTGATAATTACCCAAGGATTAGCTGCTCTGATTACAGATTTGAAAGGATGCCTAAAAATAATTCTATTCCTAGTTGAAACCTTTTTATTATTTGTAAATTATGAACCATCCTGTTTCTCACATCCCCACATTTTATACAAGAGATAACAGTATAGGCCATACAGTGTTGACATACAGTGCTGACAAAATGCAGCAAACAGCTGCTAGTCATACGGTTTTCCATCAGTTGATAAAACTTTATCCAGGTTTGATTTACTGAACTAGGCTTCAGCCTGGAGATGTTTTATTAATGGAAACAGGGGAGACAACAGTTTTCTGGCTCTGAAAAGGTCCCATCCTATTCTGATCACAATCAGTGAAAGAAAAATTGGATTTGGACCACTAACTGTATAAATGCCCATAATTTTTTACTACATGATGGAACTCTTGGGAACTATTTTAAGCAAAATTCAGTGTTTAGAGATTCTGACACCTAAAGCTACCACCCCCTGGTAAGTTTTTCAGAAATTTTCTAAAATCAGTCAAAGGAATTCTCATTAAAGTGACTGCTGTTCATTCCAGGGTTCTCTTTTACAGAAAAATTTATACAAATGCTTGTGCATGTGCAGCAATTCTTTCATCTGCTGATTTAAAACTTATAAAAAATGCATTAAAATCTTTATTAAATCAGACTCCTATGTACTATTACAATCCTTCAATTACTGACTGAATAGAAGGTATTTGAAAAAGCAAAGGAAAAATTACGACTTGTATCACTCTTTGGTAACAATAATGATCTAGCTTAAACAGGCAGATAAGATATTGGATCATAACTCATTTCAGCAATCCAACATATCACAGGTTTTACATTCTCTCTGGAATTTTGAATTGTAATAGTCCAGAAAAATGTTTCTTTCACCTCTTAGCTGTGTAGGATCAGTTATAAAGTCTACTTCTCACTTAGTCAAACCCCAAAACTCAAAATGAAATACATTCTAACTAGCCAACTTTTGAGGAACTACAATAGAACACCATCACCTGCCACTGTCTTCTCCTGACAAAGACCATTCTGGTTCCCCTAAACTTAGGGATTACTTGGACCTAGACAATCCTTAATGGTTTGGAGTTTTCTTAAGAAATGTTTAAGCAACATTTAATATACTTAAGGCTGTCAAAGACTAGATAAGCAGACATGATCAAAAAGAAATTAAATTAACTGAAGCTGTAATTTCTTCTTTACCTGTGAGTGATATTGGATATTACTATGTTCTGTATTTAAGAAAAATGAATGCCATAAGGAAACATGCAGGTAGAGCCAATAATATACATTACAGTATTGTACACAGTGACCACTGTAGCATTGATTCTGAGCTCATTGCAATGAATTATATTACTTTTAAAAAGTGAAAAAAGAGTCTATGGGTGTAGCAATTTCACAAATTTGAATGAGTAGAAAGTAGAGTCTTGATTTTTAACATTATGTGTAGCTTCTAAATATACAAATTTATAAATCCATAAAAAAAAAGGAAACACTACTGAAATATTTTGGTTTAGTTGTTGGCTTGGGTTTTTTTAAATATACAAGTTATTTAGTTAAGGAAAATTATCTGTCATTTAAACATTACAACAGTTTTTCATGAGTGCCGACTTTTTGACAGGTGTCCCAGCCAGGCTGGTTACTGATCTTGTATCATCTCGATTATCACTTCGTTTTCGCACCTCGCTGTAATAAAACAAAAACAAAAAATTGCACTCCATTAATACATTTCTATTTATGTTCACTCTTCTATTTTTTCCCACTATATGTTGCAGAGTTCATCACCATCTATTTTATGACATGTTGATTCTGTGATAATTTACACTGTATTACAATACAATGTAAATTAGCACAGAATCAACATGTCTCACAAGTTTCCAATTTGGTAATCAGTTTCCAATTTGATAATCATATGGAATTTTCTATGCAACTCACAGTGAAAAAAATATAATTTTTTAAAATATCTAGTAACTCCCCCGTGTTCTGATTTATCTTCAATTTTCTTTTGAGAAGTTTTTCTTATTTGCTTCAGTATTTTACCATAAAAAGAGTATGTTCATAGCTCTAAGTACAAAACCAAATAACTTCAGTTTCAAGTACAAATTTACTTTCATAGAAAAAATGCATGTTGTTGGATGTTTTTTAGAAATGAAGACTTAAAAGCTGTGCACATATGATTGATTATGGATTACAGACCACTTTATTGGAACCATAACTTCTTTCTTACAGGCCTTTCAAAATTATACTTTAACCAAAAATGGTTTGAAAAGGTAGTAGAATTGTAATATTTGGCTCACACACTATCACAGAAATACTAGTGTGCTAAATGTACACAAACAGAATTTCTATCTGTAAATAATTTAGAGAAGGGGACATCAAAGAAAATATATGCAATTAGAATGGTCAGTAATAAAACTGAGTACATATTTATATATGTAAAAGAATAAAAAAATAATTACACATAGAATAATTAAATTTCAAAATAAATTACGAAAGTATCAAGAAAACTAATCCATGCACAATTAAAATTATAATTCACTCAGCAAATAGGTCTTAAAACTGCTGGCTCTGTAATTGAGTCCTGGTTTAAACATTAATTATTGAGAAAGTTTTGTAAAATTTTCAAGCAAAAATGTTACTTCATTAAACTGAGAATATATCCCATCTTGCATTTATCTATAATGATCTAACAGAGTATTCTTCTCAATTTTTTTTTTAGCATTTGTACAATTTTGAAACTATATGTGTATCTTTCTATGTGCATTCACATCCTTTTTATAAAATATACTCAGATGTGTTTAGGTGAAAATAGAAACATAGTTACTTACCGAGCAAGATGAAGAACTGCTTCTACAATATTAGATCCATCTTTAGCACTTGTTTCACAGAACAATGCATTGTAAGTCTGTGAGTAAAAATAAAATGTTAAGCTAAATGATCCGAGATGGTTCCCATGTAAATGGGTACATTTAATTACAAATTGTTTCCTGAGTAATACAAAGAATGATGCTACATTTAAATGAACAGGATTTCTTCTAGTGCTTCTAGTGCTCTTCATTGTTCAACACATTCTCTTTAGTACTGTGAAATAAAACAGTAATAGTTTTTTAATTATTTCTGGTTTATAATCAGTATATTCTGAATTAATAAACTGAATAAAAGCCATATTATAAGCTTAATGCTCAAACTCAATTTTCTTGTCCACAAGATTGCAAAATAGTAAGAAACTGGCCAGGACAGATTACTTAATCTGACTTGCTAGCTACTGTAACTACAGCATCTGGTTATTGTAGGTTAACAAAAAAAAAAACATTCCATAAGTAACAGACACGGTATCTGCCCCAGTATAATCAATCACTTGTGCAAGCACTTAGCCACTCAAGACCCTTAAGACTCCTCCTATTATTCTACAAAATACAAGATTTGTACATCACTTTCATCCATTTAAAAACATACAAAAGAAACTTGTTCACATTTCTATTTATAGCACAGAATTCCTTTTCTCTTTCTGCACACATGGCAGGAATACAAGAGAGTCTCTTGAAGATGAAAATATCCACACAAAATCTGGACAGACACAAATCTGTCAATAGTATGCCTCATATTTGAACTGGCAACTTCTATTCGGCAGCAGAAAAACTCAGTCTTCCGTCCATCTACCTTTTCACGAGAAAGACTGGGAAGTCTTTCAGAGCCAATAATGAACTTCAGCTCAGCAGACACTGATTTAACCCAGCAAATATTATCAAAACATGATATTTAGTGCAAAGTATCCATGAATCCTCATCACTTGACTTGGACAAATGAGCGTAAAATTACCTTTGTTTATTAGTTTCTCACATGGTTTTCAGATGAAAATTCCTAAGACCATTTTATACTAATGAGGTACACTTGGACCTTACCATAGCTAGCTTTTCTCCATAGTTTATAGGCACACACTTTTGCCCTTGTTCTGTGACATCCTGACGGAGATCTGCCTTGTTTCCCACCATCATAATTGGAATATTCTCGTGAGTCGCATCCTGCAAGGAGAATTTTATTTCCTTATTGCTAGAACACTCAGAATACAAAGAAGTGGCAAACATCATCACAGCACATCAATCTCCTTTCCACAAAGTCTTGCATACTAATAGGAAAAAACTGACAAATTATGAAAGCTATGCTGAGAACTTTCTATAAACCACTCAAAATGTAAGCAGTCAGCTTAACTATCAGCCTGCAAAGATGTATTTCCATTCCCATAAGCCTTGTTTCCCAAAAAGGAATTTAATGTGTTAAGTTAATCTAATGGAATTGGTTACTGCATCTAAATGCTGTATGACAAAATTACTAAGGGAAAAGTAACCAACTCCTATACTACGACTAAAAGAAAATGCTTTCACAGAAGACGAACTAAGTATTTTGCTTGACACTTTCCCTCCTATTAAGCATCTCCAGCACAAGAGAAAAACCCCTTGCACTAAATGCAAATTCATATTCAAATAAAAAAAACAAGAAGCACAAGTAGAAAGAAATACTGAAAAATTCCCTTAAACTATAGCTAATTTACAGAATCTAATATATTGGTTTATAATGCAAAGACTCCAAGGACAAGAAGGTATCTGAAATGTGCTGCCACATTCATTCTAAAAGGAAGTGAATGGGAAGAGCATCATTGCACAAAATCCTTTAACACAAAAACATGTATCAGATTGAATTCTAACTGAGCATGTCAGCATACATTTAGGACTTCCACGTAGCTTTTCATTCCTATGACAGCCTTCAGTCTGGATAATTACAATTTACATCCAATATAATTTTATAAATAAAAAAACTAAATAATGCAGTGAAACATATCTTCTATGTTCTAACATATGTAAGAACTTAGGGTTCTCTTACTTACCTCAATCATATCCACCCATTCTCTCACATTAATAAAGCTTTTTTCACATGTTACATCATACAGTAGTAAGACACCATCTGCTCTTCTGAAGTATGATTTAGCAATACTTCGAAATCTTTCAGAAAAGAAGGAAAGATTTGCATAAGGCCACATTATCAAATAATAGTTCGGTTTAATATCACTAAGATATTACGTCTTTTCCAACATTAATGATTCTATGATTCTACAATTCACTGACATGTAACTTCCTAAATTGATTGTTCCCTTTACTTCCTTTGAAAAAGACAGAAATCCAGTAAAATTATTTCAGATCATGATTATTTGAGGACTTCATGATCAATTACAGCCATCTTTGTCATGAACTTTATACAATCTACTCAACCAAGTATAGTAACTAGGTATTTGCAATGGATATTAAAATACTCTTCACAAATTTATTACATGAGAAGAAGACTGATTGGATCCCTACCTACATACAGCCAACACAAATCTTGGTCAATGAACATATTAAACTGACTTCCACAGCACTAGATTAACCTCTTAATAAGCCCTAAAAGCTGTCCGTAAAGAAGTAATGGCTCTCAAGTAAAGATGTCATAGGATTTTCAGGAAACTTTACACAGTATTTTGAAGAATCATGGCTATAAATTCAGCAATACACACAGGTATTTTTGGTAAAACTCAAAAGTCTTTGGAAAGAAGTTTTTATATACTAAATACAACACAAATCGGGACCATGACTTTCAAGGAAAGAACACGAGATGGGGAGCAGGGGAAGGGACTCTCTAAGAAAAAGCCTGCTTAAAAATACAGGTGTATAAGAACAAAGAAAGCTAAAGACTAAAAATAGAAGAAACCATATGCATCTACTCCATCATTTAATATTGCAAAGGAGTGACACACAGATTTAGTTAATTAATCCTGTGGTGACCCTCAACTATTTCTCTTGATACCTCAAGCACTGTTGAAGCTAACACACAAACATTCCACCTGTCTTGAGATCTCAGCAGAGAAAAATTGCATCTGTTTACTGATATTTACATATGGACCATACAATTAATGTTTTTTTCCAGCTGGATGAAAAAAGGCAAATTACTTTTACAAACAAAAGAATTCAAATAAGGTAAGTGCAGAGGATCACTAACCTCTCTTGCCCAGCCGTGTCCCACAGCTGTAACACTGTAGGTTCTCCATCAACAATTAGTCTTTTCATTTGAAAGTCCACACCTGAAAAGAATCATATGTATCATCTAAAATAACCCATCAATAATCTTAAAGAAACCACAAAAATTAAAAGGTAGGGGCTATATACAACAGTTTATCCAAAAGTAATCTTTTTTAATAGGTTATGAGATTTCAGTCAGTCATGCACATACCTCTGAACTGCAATAACCCCCGAATGTATTTGCCTTTTCACAGAAGAATTGATACAAATTGCATTCTGAACAACAAGCAAGATCTCTTGCTGCTTTATTTCACTTAACAGTTTTATCAAAGAAGTGAAAATGTTTTAGAAAAAATTTGATTTCAAATACCAAGGAAGAAAAAGATAAATTAGAACAAAAATCCTGACAAGAGGCAACAAAACAGACATATAAGTACGATTTGATTGGAAGACAAAATTCACTCTTTGGAATCCTTAAGACTTAAGTTTGTTAGCTAACAAGTATACTAATATACAGAAGTCAGTCAGAAATCCTTCTAGCTGTTATTTAAACCAACGCTTCAATAACACTTTGAAGAAATTGCAACAAAAAATAGTAGGACAGACACCAAAGGATAGTATGAAATACTAAGGAAAGAGAGAATTGTTGAGAAAATAAGAAAGCAATGAAAAATGCAGAAAAGCTCATACACACACTGAAAGTTCCTTATACTGACATTCCTTCTTTGGTGCTTTGTGTTGTTCAGAAAGAGGCTTCATAAAGAAAAACTAAATTAGACCAGTACCCTATTTTCCACTACAAACAGCTGTTATTACTAAGCTTTCGTAATTAATTAGATCTCACAGCCTGCATGAGAAACTGTGTGAGTACATCCCTAGCAAGCAATCACAAAGGCAAGCTTTTCATCCTCTTTGCTGTAAAATAACAATGAAATTCATTTCAGTATTTTAAGAAGAACACCAACTATACCCAGAGTTGCACTGGTATTGCCTTGAAATTCATTCTTGCAAAGTCTCATAAGAAAACTGGATTTTCCCACTGCTGCATCTCCAGCAAGAACAATCTTGTAAGCCTTCTCTGTACTGGGGTATTTTGGAGCGCATTCAGTTGCATCTGGCTGAAAATAAAAAGAATCCCTCTATAACAACTCATAAAAAAACCCACCCCTCTGTATCATTCTTTTCCATTTTTCCCCTGAAGAACTGGTTACCTGAGGGGTGAGAGCAGATATGTATCTCCTCGTTGAAGCAACTGAGCTGCTTCGACTAACTGGTCGTGAGGGCTTCCAGTCTAAAACTGCAGTGCTGTTAGCAGGACTGTATGCTTCTTCATCTCTGATCTCAGGAACCTGAAAATATGAGTTAGTTCTCCGGTGAGAAAAGCATGTTTTTCTGGAAAGGCACAGCTAAGACTCATTAAAACATTTTAACACTTTGGATTAAACAGAGATAAATGACCAGATACAGCTGTGCAATTCTAATCAAAATACTGTGATAATTCTGTTCTCTGTTATTTCTGCTGTTTAGTATAAGCTACATTTTGTCTTTTAACATTTCTATTGCTTGGCATCCATTCTTTCAGTATTCTAATAGAGCAGACTAATTTCTATATGAAAATTTCAGCTTATAACATAGTCACAATAAACAACTGGGACAATACTTCATTTCAAAGCTTATTTTGCAAACATTAAGAATTTTCCCGAAGACATTACTCTCCATGCTATTACTACTCAAGCAAAATTAAGTAGAGCACAGCTGTAATCAACATTATTCATAGCAAAGTCTCCACAGAGATTAATGTCTACGAAACACACAGCAAAGAGTTTACCTTAAAAAAACCCTATAGTATAGTGTGCTTGACATTATTTTTACTGTGTAGTCCTTAGAAATTCTTTCAATGTTACTAACAATAAAACAGACACAGTAACACTTTCTTAGATATTTTTTAATTCTCCAAGATTTTAGCCTATGAGTCAATGTGTGAACTAATAGTATTTTATCTCATATGTGCTTTTTTCTCCACTGCTACAGCACAGTAAGATAAGTGAATAGAAACCTATTTTATTTCTATCTGCTTTTTTATCATTAGAAAATGAGCTCCTTTCTGCATACAGTTTAACAACCTTCAAAAATTACACAAACTTCAAAAATTACGTTATTACCTCAAAAACATACCAAAAAATGTAAATTCAAAATGAACTACTTATACATTCTCAAAAAAATGTTCACTAATTAATTTAAATACGCATGACCCAAATATTTACTTTTAACTGGCCTGCGGGCAAAGATCCATTTTATTTTAAAAACAGGAAGCTAATTTTGTCTCCAATCAAAGACTTCTCTCAGAGAAGAAGCAAATCTGGCACTTACATCTGTATCAGAGGCATCACCACCAAAGCCTTCTTGCATACATTGTGACCTTTGAAAAATCCTTTGATGCCTATATTCCACTTCTGAATCATACTCATTTGAATCTCTCAGGGTAGACAAACCACTGTCAAAACAGCTCTCAGGTAAGCTGTCAACTTCACAGTTTATCCTTTGCATTGGATCACAAAGGGCTAAAGAATCATAATCTTCATCAACACAAGACGAATGAGATGACCTAATAAGAAAATATTGGAGGGGGAAAAATAAATTATTCCATATAATAAATCCCAATAATAAATAATTGCTCTTCCCAACAAAATCTGAGCCTTTCTGGAATAGTCAATTCTTAGAAACGCTAATGTTAAGTTTAAGACATATGTCAATCCCTATCTTGCCTTTATAAAGAATTTCTTTCCCAATCATATGTCTTGGGATGCTCAGATCAAATTATTTAATCTGTGTTACTGATGATGACTTTCCAAGTGTCAGTAATTATGACTACGTTAATTTTAAAAAGCCTATCTAAAAAGACATTCAGAAAGTGATGTACTATGAAGACATGAGAAAAAGAAAAATACATACGATGTTTTAGTGAATTTTAGCCAACTCTACGACAAAAAACAACCTTGACATACTGCATCTCATTTAAATGAATGCATTTGTTCACAGGGGCATGCAGTAAGAAACAGCAATAAATATAGAAGATGGAGTAGCCAAGTTCAGGAGATCAGTAATGGTGGAAGAAGTCACTGAATAATTTTCTTACAGTTTGATAAACTATGCAAAACCTAAACTTTTACACAGAATTCCTCTCTTTTCTCTTAACCTTCTTTTAAAAGTCTTTTTTTCATTCTGGATACTGTAATATATTAAAATATTTTAAGGAATTGCTGCAGTGACAGTATGGGTTACGGAAAAAAAAAAAAAGGTTTTATTTATGCAAATAAAACCACAGAAAAAAGAAGGTTAATAGAGTGAATCCTAAAAAAACCAGTCTTATAAAAAAGGTTACAGTCATTATCATGCCTCTTCAGCAAGACAGGGACAGGCATCAACGAAAGTGAGGCAGTAAAGGTCTCCAAGTCATAGCGCAGAAGAGAGGGTCTGGTTTAGCCCTGTTGGGATTGGATGTGATGCACTGACCTGCTAAACCAGACAAGGTCAGCACCAATCCTTGTAATAACAGCTTGCTCCCAGACGGGCTCCCCTGTGATGGCACAACACAGGAGAGCACACTGGGGAAAATCACCAAATTATGAAGCTGTTACTGAGTCGAATTCTTCCCTGCACCCGGCCAAATGGGGGTGATAGTGGCATCACTGTCCCATGCAGTAACATTCAAAACCATCCAATTTACACCCCTTCGGGCTAATGAATAACACATGAATGCATGTGATCTTTGCTTTAGGATATCAAAGTGTACACGGTCTTTGTATTCACGCACACTTACTAGCCCATATCAAATCACTGAATTACTGACAAAGAGTGCATGCTATAACAAAGTTAAGCTCGCCAGGCATTCTCTGAAATAAAGCTCTTAAGTAGGCAATTCCCAATTGCATTGAACTATGAATTCAATGCTGGGAATTTTATATATGCTTAAAGCAACTTAGACCAAGATGAATCTTACAGCCAAAAAAAATAAAATCATACATTTTAGAACAGATTGCTTAAAACATATTAGTATACAAACCAATACCTCTTAATGCTGAGCTGATGTCAGGAGACAAGGTACTGAGAACAAACACGTTTTGGGACATTCACATCTCTTTTTGTCTTTTGATATATCAAGTCACACATGTTAAGACTAAGCTTTATTCCTACCCCATAAACTTTCTTCTGAAGTGGCTTGTATTTCTCACTTTTATGGAAATACAAGGATTGTACCATGTGGCACGTACTAATAAACATTCATAAAGAACAACATAACTAAGGCTCCAGAGAGGTTTTATTTACTCCCTCAGAAAATTACTGCATGCAATATGCAACTTAGAGTGGATGCCTCTAAAAATTTGCAGAGGGTCCAATATTAGGGAATTGGGTTTATGTGCATTCAGAAACAGGAAAGTGCTTTTAACAACCAAAACTTTACAGCCAGCAAACACATCTCACAAGGAGACAACAGAATAAGGACACTACTGAATAAATGGGGATATTATAAGTTTGAAGCAAAGTCTATTTAATTCCTATCCAATATTTTTCTTTCTGACAAACTACTATTCTCTATTAGAGATCTCTCTATGGTTTGGAATACCACTGAAAGAAAAAATAAAATAATCTATCAATTGAGTGAGGACACACATTTTTGCTGATGGATCTGTTTAAAAAATCAAGTGTGAAAGCATAACATGACTGACAGCACTCAGGGTTGCCTCCAGTACCCACAGTCTTCAGTGAGTCTCTGAAATGATGAGGAAGTTCTGATCAATTATCTGTATCTATTAAGTAGAAAAATAAATACCTCTGACCATCTAATTGCATTTAGATAACTTACTGGTTTTACACTCTTATCCCATTAATATCCAAGTGCATCCACTACTCTTGCATGTCAGTGTGAGATGAGGTAATATGAAGATCAGGCCCACATTTGTACTAATTATTATATGGGAAAAAAGGCACACAAGCTGAACATAAAATCAAAAATGTTTTATTTCTCAAATACTGAGAAAGGCTAACAAAGGTCCTCAGAAGAGTTTTATAGTTTCTTGGAAACAAAAAGACTGAGACTCAAACTAGAATCAAAAAAGGCAAAGACCAGACAAGAGGCTGTCTGACCTCTTCACAAGTTTATGGCTTCTACTGAAGAGGGCTATCCTGAGCTTTCTGAAGTAATTGAGAAGATTCCTATTGACTTTAGTATATTTTGGATCAAATGCTATGGTCATACATTACTTCTAAATCAGACAGAACTATTGTCTGTTACTTAACACTAATTTGGTCTTCTAAGACAAGCCATTCTCAAATTAATAAAAGCAAGCCTGGCTTACCTGTCATATCGTGGGTTTAAAGGAGAATGTTCACCATTAAATTTAGGACTGCTTCTAGAAATGGTACTTCCTGGTGAGGTATTTGCTAACCGCTGAAAGAGATACATAGTAAATGCATTATAACTTTGATGAACACAGAGGATTATATCTAGATTTGTTGGGGAAAAAAGCGTGCATCATCACAACTACAAATTGGATGTATTTAATATATGTTTATTTATATTTTTTATACATATATATATATGTTTAGCTACTTAGGTTTAGTTAAACCTCATACTTCATATACGACTGAGGGCCAGAAGGCTTATTACCAATAGCGTTTAGGCTTCACCACTGCCCTTATACTGAACACACTAGACATGTTCAACCACAAAAGAACAGAATTTCCAAGAGAATTATTTCATTGACTACCTCAAGACTCTAATCTCAAGACTCTGAAAGTTTTGAAAAGTGATATTTAGACCATGGCATACTGACTACTGAAAAAAAGGGGAACTGAGCTAGTTTCAGGAGAGCTACCTCCTAGTTCTTGAGAGAACTAGGAAGGTAAGGTCTCAACTAATAGCATGAAACAAAAGTATTTTGTACGTTCTGCTGTGTTTCCATACATTTATTCACTGGAAACAGCTTCTTCTGTCTAAGTAATATGCTCATTTATATTTCCAGGCATGACAGTAGGAAATGGTATCCATTGCTGCATCTGTAGTGGATCTCTGGTAGCTCCTATCAACAAAAAGCACTCATGTTCACTGGTATGGAATACTGCAAACAGGCACTGCCCTGACCCCTATTTTCTTCCTTCCTGTCCAGTATTGTCTTTATGGGCTCATTATTCTGATCCCATCCTTCTAAAAAAGCTATCTGCTTTCCTCATGATACCCAGCCATGTTTTAAGTTTTAAGAGTTAAGTCAAGTTTAAGAGTTAAGTTTAAGAGTTAAGTCAAGTTTTAAGAGTTTTAACAGGTTTCACAGGATTGCAAAATGACAGTGTAGAGCAGGTTTTTTCCTTACTTTCAAGCCTTCCTTTCTCTAGTTTGGAGGATGTCAGGTGACATTTGCTACAAGAGACTCTAATGCAGTTCTGTGAGCCCAAAAGGGTCTGACTAAGATCTCTATCAGTAGTGCATGCTATTCATTTTCCCAGTGACTTGCCTGGACAGAAGTTTGAGTTAGGTTAAGACCTTGCTATTAAAAAAGGGCAGTTTTCTGAGAACGTGTGTTGTCAGTGGTAGGACACTCCCTTACACAACACAAATACATTCCCTTTAGCGCAAGAGAAACTGTTGATTTATTCACCTTATTAAATATCACAGATTATTAAAAAAAGTCATCTTCCAAAGCATCTGGAAAGTAGCTATGCTCTAACAAAACTTCCATTATTTAACAAAACATAAGTAAAATCTAACAAAACTACACAGGAGTATTCACTGAAAAAAATCTCAATTTTTTCAGTACCCACTGAGGTACCAGTTTAAATGCGCTGTGTTGATTCTTACACCTTCTATGACAATGTAACAAAATCATCAATACATACCAATGATCTGTTGTACTTGCTGAAACTGTTTTCAAGTGCACTTCTTAAACCATCGTTGCTATCATGTAGTTTTCTATTAGCTGATCTAACAAGGAAACACAGTTTAACTTGCAGAATTCAAGAAAACATGAAAAACTATGTAACTTCTCAAAAAGAAAAATTTTCAAAATACTTCTAAAAAACCCTTTTTTTCTTTAGCTAAACACTAAATAGTAACATGAAACTAGAAACACAACGACAGGTACTCAAACAAATTATCAGAAAAAAATCACTGTGAATTTTAGGCTTCAGTGGCAGCCCAGGAAGTCCATTTTCACTTGTACAGCATGGTCTCTGGTCAGTTGAGTTTAAAAAAATGTACTGTAGGAATGGTGACCAAAAAAAAAAAAAACCAAACAAAACAAATCACACAATAAAACAACAAGTCCAGCCATTTCTGTACGAAATTACTACCCTTTAAATATTGCTGAGGTGATTCTGAAGACAAATATAATCAATCTGCTTGAAATAAAGAATTTGTTTAGGATAAGGATATTAAATAAAGATATAAATAAATGTATTCATTGTGACCCTTCTTGTGCACCTATTATATAATACTGCAACTCTTAGTACTTTCCAGACAACAATAAGACAGGGAGTTACTGGAGAAGCAAAGCCAATAGAAAAAGGAGCAAGGCAGTAATTTTTATGATAGCATGGATAGACTCAAATCACATTCAGCTTATTAGAAAGAAATGAAAGCCATTGGGGCTAAGAAAAGAAATGGAAAGAAACCAACCGAAGTGTTAGTGGATCAGTACCACAGTAGAGTTAATACCACAGTAACATTTATGACAGTTGAGAACAACACCTTTTACAATAATTTAGGCCATTTCAGTATTTTCACTTGGAACTACTTCCCAAATTTCATCCCTATCTTTTGCATATAAAAACACTTATCCCAAATATGGTGGAGCTAAATTTGATAATAAAAAACTGCATTTCTAAAAACTTACTGAAGTATTTCAATTTGTCTTTCCAGATTATCTCTGTCTTCAGTATACTCTCGGATAATTTCTAGATCCCTGGAAAAAAAACCCAAAAAGAAACACCAAACTTAAATGAACTTATACTTAACAGGATATTCTCACATTTTCACCATATTGCCCTTGGCAGAGTTTACATTTATGCTGAAATATGCTCAGAGCAGTTTTACGCAAAGTAAGATCATTTTGTGACTTCATTAATCTCCGCCGTTACAACTCAACAAAGACAGTGAATGAAAAATTAAAATCATACAAAATAACCATACGGACTATCTCTTTTTCCTTTCAAATAAAATTTGTATTATCTGATGATAACCACACAATGAAACTGCCCTTTATGCTCCTTTAAAAGAGTACTAGAAGTAGCGTTCATTCACTTTAGAAAAACAAATGGTTAAGATAGACATGGAAGGCTTCCAAAACTATTCTCCCTAAAATTCATACAGATCCTCATGTGAGTGCAAGCCATGAAGAAAAAAAATTCCTGGTGTACTGCTGTTTTATTCCTAATGAAGTCCCACTAAAATCAACTAATGTTGCAAGATTATGAGAATTTTCATCATAGCCAGAATTTGCTCCTTCAGAAACCTAACAAGAGAAGTGAACAGCATTGATGACACGGTATTAAACATGTACCCACCCTTTAAGGCAAATTCAGAAAATAACTGTTGCCAACTGCATGCATAATAATTACATCAGAAAATAGATGTTGTTTTTTCCCTTGTGAAAATATTATCATGTAGAAGTAACTTACCTCTCAGTGTTCAAAGACTGATCTGCATACTCGCTTTTCAAGGTATCTAATTCACTCTGTAGAAAAGCTATATTTGTCTGTGCTTCTAAGAGATCTTTCTTAAGTCTCTGATTTTCCTTCAAAAAAGGAAGACATTAGATGTTAGCTGTCACAGTCACCTCCACAAAATGTTGATAAACTACAATAGTAGAATAAAAACCATCAAGGTTAAATAAAAATTAAACACTATAAAATTTGGCATAGGGAGGGAAAGAAAATGAAAGAAGGATAAATCAACAGAGAATTCAGTAAATTAACATGCAAGAATTTCTTAACTATTCTTTTTCTATTCAGTTACAAAAAAATGGAACCACATCAACTCAGGCCATTTCTAAATGTCCTATGTAGAATGTGCATACATTTAAACAGGGTTTTTTTCAACTTAAAAGATCCATACACTTACCCATGACTTCTAAGCTTTACTTGCAAGCTTACCATTAATAAATGTTAAAAAAAAAGAAACCAACAAAAATCAAAACCCAAATCTCCACAAGTATACCAATCTGTACTGCAGACACTAAAACTGAGGCTAAATTAATTTGTTAATAATAATAATATTAATATTCTCTTACCAGCAACATATCATGTATTCTTTTCTTCAGTTCAACTACATCTTCCCGGTGATTAACATACTTGGATTGCTCCTCCAGCTTAAGTATTAAAAAAATGCACAATTAATGTATTTGATTGTTCTGATTAAAAAAACAAACCTTATGGGAATCACAATAAATAATCCTTAGGACGTTTTACAGTTACTAAAGTTTTTAAAACTTAACAGTTGTTCTGAATGTACTAGCAGACAGCATTATTTCAAAAATCACTGGCTTTCTAGAAAATTGATATGCATTTTGCACTCTTTAGGTATAAAATATTCATAACTAGTGACACAGAAGACAGCTGTTAAGATCGAAACAGAGAGAAAAACTAACTTTAAAAAATTATAAAAAATTATTAATACCTCAGCTATGTAGTACTTGGACTAGAAGCTCTCATGTGTCTTGTAAGAAATTTCCATTTCTAGAAATGTTCTTCTATGTGCAATTAAATACAAAACCCAAACAAATATATCCACTGTGCTTGCTACAATTCTGGTAAAACTTACAGCAAAAACCAAGGTCAAAATTAAACCCAAATTACATATTCCAAACACGTATTACATATTCCAAAACATCATTCCTGAGATTTCATTTTACTTTATTACTAGGTATCAAATTACAAGATCAGATTGCAGTTGAGTTCTAAAAGGCACTATACTTAAAGTTGGGTACTAAAAGGCACTATATGTAAATAACTACATCTGGGTTGCCAATTCCATCTTTATTTATAAATTACAAATGCTTAGTGGAAATATATTGGACTATTTCTAATGGACCAAATATAAGACTAGGTAACTGCAATGTTAATAACCTGATAGACCTAGAAAATTGTTAAGCTAAAGAATTTAGGTAATAGTTGCTGCTCTCTTTCCTAACTATTTAAACAAATTACACAACATGAATACAAAAGCACAGAATGACAACACAACCTAAAAATTATCTGCAGTTGTCATTTACTAACACAAATTAAATTAGAAACCTACAATTATGATTACCCATCTTGAGGGAGACATTTCATAAGGTCAAAAAACACTTAAAAAAACTCAACACACTTCAACTCACTTACCTTTTTAAGTTTTTTTATTGTCACCTGAAGATCCCCAACTTCAGCGTCATACTGGCGCTTCAGCTCATTTAGTGCTTCTTCAGCTTTCTGCTTCTCCTGCAGTATTTTCAATCTCATTAGAAGTTGAGACAGGTTTCATATCTTTATCAAAAAATTCGTTCATCGCTTTGTAAAGCACATACTTTTTGCTTAGACAAATGTGTTTTTCCATTCTATCCCTTCCTTAAGGTCCATAGGTTCTGATTCTGTAATTGCAGTCTATGCAATACACAGATATTGTGTATACACAATATAAAATGGTGGCATGAAAGCAAATATTTGGGTCCATTCAGTGTTTTTCATTCATGATTCCTGTGCTTAACATTCTCAATGTCACTTACTTTTTTACTTCTGTTTTTCCTTTGAATTATTTTGCTTGCAATTGTTAGAACATTATAGGCCCACGTCAGCAGAAAGCAAGCAGACAACAGCAGCTCTAGTTTTAGATAAATGGTACCATCTCAGCAACAGAGACAAGGGGATGGTTTCACAGCTGTCTATTCAATACCACCCACATCACCGGGATGGCCTCAGCAGCTGGAAATGGGAGCAGTGCCATCTTTTACCAGGGCACATGGCAGGGTGTGCACCTGTGCTTAGAGACTGCAACAAGTACTGCCCACGGGGATGTTCCATGGTGAATGCCCTTTTGTGGGTAAAATACTCTCTTTCCCTTGTATACCCTACATTATCAATATTGTTGCATTTATTGCAGCCTTCCAGTATACTGTAAGTCTAGTTTATGATTTCTCCCAGTTTCCTCTATTACTAGAAGAAGCAGAGGGGATAAAAGGTGACAACAGGACTGGGTTTAATTTTCTCACTGTGTTTGAAACCAGCACCAAGTGCTCTGTCTAAACACCAATACCTGTATATAGTACTCAGTCTGAGTATCAAACGAATTTGTGCATCAATGACAATGTGTGTGGTGTGCTACTGACTGGTGTGTTTCCTCACTCCAGTCACTCCCCAGGGACTCCAGTTTCACAACACAACAAGTCAGAATGCAGCAGTGAGAAATGGAGCCAACGAGACAGGTTGGGTTTTCACATGAAAGAGGCAGGCATAGATTTTGCTTAGAATTCAGAATTAGAATTTCCCATAGATGACGCTGACATTCATGTGTTAAAACAATAATCCAAGTAATCAATTTAAGTTGGATTCCCCTACTGTTGCCAACTACATAAACTCACAAGTATTGTTGGGTAACTATTTGCTTCCCTTGAAGAAACAAAGTACAGGATAGGCTCATGCAGAAGCAGGTGTCCCGGTGGCATGAGTGAGATCACTCTGACAAACAATAGCCTTGATTACAGACATTAAGATTAATGGCTTAGTACATTCCCACAAAGTAAATAACCTAGCATTTACTCTCAGGGTGTTCTAGTAGGTGCAGTATGTGGAGCTAGGAGCTACAAGGAACACTGGAGAGTGAAAATGAAAAAAACTTTGTGAGAAACAAGTTAACCAAGTTAACAAAGACCATCTTTCACACCTATGGATAGATGCAAAGAGTGATTGGGAATACAGACTAAATGTAGATAATACATAGAAGATCAACTTCTGCATAATGCCAGTGTATAACTGTAGATGTTCTCAGAATAAGCAAACACACACAGTCATCTTTTCAAAGCAGTGAAAAAGGGTATTCAGTGCTTTTTTCAGTGATTTATCACTTTTTGACAACAGTTATTTTCCAGAGAAAATGTATTTGTTTTCTCAACATTAACAACTTAGCTTCTTTGAAAGTGAAAATTTATCTCTACTAAGAGCTGCATTACCACTAGTTAAACATATTAAACCACACTTTTTTTTTTTTGCAAGTGTGATATCTTTAAGATTTTTATGCCATTATATTTTGTTTCTAGGAACACAATAGGCTTTTATGGTGTGGTAGGACTGTTTTCTCCTGTATAGGAAAAAAAGCTGTTTGAAGTAAATCTAACAGAATACCATTTAACTTCACATATCAGTTAGTGTGAACTACTTAAATTCAGCAAGTTGGCAGACAGTACTTTGTTACTTCTGGTTCTGCAAGTACTCTGGTGAAAGAACCCATAGCAAATATAGATAGATGTTCAGTATACCACATGTCTGACCAAGCAGTAATTATGCCCATAGTGTTTTAATTAATGCATTTCTTATGCCTTCATTAGAACACTTTCACAAACTGTTATGCCCATATAAAGTTTGGCTTATCTTAAATGAATGTAGTAATAATTCAAAATGAACCAGGGAGCTGGTCTTGCTCCTTTGAATTATGCAACCACATGTAGCTCTAATATATCTCTCCCTGGGTAAGACAAGAGGATTTTTACTTCTTTTCATGTAGACTGCAAGTGGGTTGAAACAACAGCTAAAATTGAGCAGATCAAAACAGAGTTTCCCATTAAGTTTGAGGGGCCCAGGCCCTCACACATTGCTACCACAGTTATCCTCTCTTAAGTCTCTAAAATGTAGTTGCAGGAGAAAGGAGGAAAGAAAGAGCATTACTCCAGGCAGATACACAAAGCAGGACCAAATAATCAAAGCATTAAATTATACATAAATTATTGTACTAGGAGAACTAGATTGCATTCTTTAGTGCTGAAATATAATTTTCTGCAGTCTGTTTCCAATATTGGTCTCAGAAAGAAACTCTTCTTGGCCAGTATGTTTCCACAAAAGGGAAAGACTTCTTTTTCTTGGTTCATTACACCTAAGCAGATATTCCTCTTTGGGAAAGCATTAAGAGCATTCATTTTTTTATTTCATGTATAGACTTTTTTCATCCAGACCCTGCCTACAGCAGCTTTGAGTCAGTCCATCACGATCAAAACCACAGGTGGCCATCAATCCTGCTTAAGATCACTGAGAGTTCAGTAATTATGAAATACTGTAAATATAAAATACTCACTTCCTTTTTAACTTTATGCTCTGCAGCCTGTATCCGTAGTTCCATCTCTTCCTCTAACTCACTGAGTTGAACTGCTGCTTTGTCCTGAGCTCTAAAATTTAGAAGAAAATACTCTCTTAGGAATTGCCCTCCAGCTTGAAAGAAACACTGTGTGAAACACATCTGCCTACCTCAACTGAAACAAATTAGACAGAAAGACAGGTAAACAGTTTAACATTGAAACTGGCGTGGCTAAGAACCTAAAGGCCAAATTATTTTGAAGATACTGGCAAATTAGATTTTAAATAATAGCTGCAAGCTGATGATTAGCATTAAATACATCTGCATTTTTAAAATTAATTTACAAAGATGAAAGGTGCCCCTTGTTATCCTATGAAGAGACTTCAAAAGCAACTTGCATCACCCACACATACAAGATCTCTGTTCTGAGCTAATCTGTTTGGTTTTGGCAGTTATGATGTGAGACTGACAGTGCCAAGTAGTTAAAAAAGGTAAATACAGTCCTTGAAGCTCATGAAGCAAAAATATGATTTCTAAAATGAAAGTATAGTGGACATGTATGATAAAAGTCAAAGCTGCAGCCAAGGAAGAGGAGTCAAAATGTTTTAAGGCATTTAACTAACAATAGAGTCTGCAAAAATTTGGCCCAGAATTTATTGGAAGTATGAACAGGCAATCATTTGCAGGCTGCTATATGTGTTTATGCACAAAGGGTATGCACACAAACTAACTTCAGAACTCAGTTTATGGAAATACTTTGCATGGCATATTTTGGCATTAACTCTCAGCAGTTTAATCAAAAAAAGCAGGAGAAGAGAAATAAAAAAACTGCAGAACTGAACTAGAGACACAATTCACTATACCTTTTTACCGCTATGGCCAGAGTTTCCATCTCTGTGCTTTGAAGTTTGATCTCTTGGATGAAGCTCTTAATGACATGCTCATATGGCTGGACTAATCTTGGTTCTGCTATGTGTATGTTCTGATACAGAACACTGACCTGCTCTTGTCTGAAAAAGAGAGATATGCACATTTTAATGCACTCAGTTGGAACAATGTTCTACTATAGGTTTGAAAAACTTACTACAAAATAAGATATTCCCCTCTTTGCCTATTTTTAAAATTTAGCAAACTAGATACAAGCTTTTAACACTCAGTACATTATGACTAAATTCTTTAAATTATGTTTACCATTTCCACTTCTCTGCTTTAATATAGCTACTGAGAAAAAAAAACAACCCAAACTGCCTAATGAAGTAATTTTTTTACTTTCTGTCCATAGTGTAGTGAAGAGAATGCCACTGGCGTAACCCACAATGTATATCAAGTTTCTTGATTGCTTTAATGTTAATCATAATCCATGAAGAAACCTAAGATTTCAGGAGGTTGCATAAGAACTGAAAACAGGCATGAATAATAACTACCTAAGTTAAAAGGGGAAGGAGATAGAGGGAGGTGGGCTGTAGGCAAAATAAGAATACAGCTCCTCAGTTTCACACAAATTATTCTGGTCTATATATAAATAAATTTGTCATTACAAGAAGTTAATTCTGTATATGACTCTCAAGTGAAAAATGTCAGATATATCTCATAAAGAAGAAAGAAAACACTTCTGTAGGTATTTTAGTTGTTAAAAGCTCTCCTGAAATTCATAGTGAAATGTTGCCTCAATGTAGGAACAGTATATTCAGATTTCTATTTAATCTGGACTAATTTACACAGATTGCATACTGTTCTAATTGTCAGAGCAAAGAACCTTTACAAGATTAAAAAAAAAAAAAAAACAACATAAGAGCCAAACCACTATTACAAAGTCTACTACATAAATTGCACAATTGTGCAATTCAACAAGTGTATATTCTCTTAATTTTTTCTCACTTGAAGCAATTCCACAGCTTTGATTATCAATGCTGCAGCACTCTGCTTCTTATATGTGATTTCTCCACTGAAGGTCTAATTTACTTTATTAAAACAGTACCACAACTCTTACTATAGCTCAAATTCCCTTTTAAACAATTTAACAACTTCAGGACAATGTAAAACTTGTTTCCAGCTGAAATGTTGACATTCATTTTGAGACAGAGAAACATAAAACCAGCACAAAGAGATATTTACTGATGCCTGAGAAATTTCTGTGGTTTTGTCTTGCAAAAGATTTCCTTTACAAACGCTAATCCTGTATTACCTGTATTTAGTAAGTTAAATATCTTCCAATGAATGCACACAATTTCGTTTTGAAAATATGTTCTAAAGAGAGTAATGTTGAAGTTCACCAACAGTAACAATAACGAACAGGTTTATCTAATCATCAGGTGCTACAAACTCTGTATAAATAACACAACATTAAAGAACTCCTCAAATGTATATTTATTCAATTAATGATTTGCATTTAAAAAACTGTTAAGGACATTTCCAGAATCCACCTGGAGGCCTGTAGTCAGTGGCATTTTCTGGGATCAATACTGGAACCAGTCTTGTTCAACCTGTTTATCAATGATCCAGATGAAGGGAAAGAATGTACCCTCAGCAAGTTTACTGATGCTCTTTAAAACTGGTTTTCCTTGTAATCCTAAATTAATTTTCAGTGTATTTAGCTGCAAACCTGTAAGTTCCACACTAACAAAGTTGTGTTAGCGTGGAACTTAAAGGTGTTCACAAATACTAATGCGTAGAAAGAGCATTTTTTTAATATATGGCATGAAAGTTTGTCACTTTGTTTATCTGGCACTATGGTTATGCTACTCATCATGCATGCATTTACTTCTGTTGCTTCTGCAAAGTGCAGACACCAAACACTCATAATCCACAAAAGGTACAGCATTGTGGCCAAGGACTACCTTGGCTTTACCTTACCTCATTTCAAAGGTTTTATAGCATAAACCATCTGTAAAATTAGTACTTAATAACAGTAATTAGTCAATATTTGCACAGCTTCACATGAGTTAACTTAAGCAAAGTTACAGTATTCACATGGTTTCAGAGTTCCTGTGAGAACTGCATAAAGAAAAGAAAACTGCTCTGATTATAATGCAATTTCTAATATCATAGAATTAAAATACCATGGCTGCATAGAAGAGGAGCAGAAGGGAGGCAGAGGGAGGACCCCCACCAAAAAACCGCACAACACTGATTTTGAGCACACCAGATATTTATATTGTGTTATCCTTTCCTTTAATCCACACAGCTATATTAATTCTTATCAATTCACAGTATTGTTTCTGGTTTGCTGATTGTACAGTGACATCTGCCTAATAATCCACATTCTGAATGCAGTTCAGAGAAAGATGATGGAATTTTTCAACTAATAACAACTCCAGAGTTGCTCAGTATCTTACATATGCTCCCTGTGTAGTCACCAGAAAGAATATGCTGTATTACACAGGCCACCCAGTCTGACCCTAAGGGCAGTATTTGGTTTTAGAACACTATTTCAATGATCCCTGTCTACTGTAGGTCAGGTGGTAAAATTGCTCTGATCACTTCTACAAGTTCTGTTCTGGTATGGACATGAAGAGATGAAGTATAAGGTGGTCTGAGCTGGGTGGTCAGAACAAAACAAAGCTCAAGCATTAGGTATCTGATAACTGTCCTTACACTGGAGACCAACAGCCTAAGTGTGCCTCCAAGACATTGACAAGTACTTTTTTTCTGAAAAGCAGACACACTGGATATACCACTGTACCAGTCAGCAGAAAAGAACAACCGAATCCAGTACAGATTGGAAAGGATCTAACTTTGTCACAGCTGAGTGCCTAACACTTTCTTTAGATTGAGTTCCTGAAGGAAAAATAGATTACACAGAACTTTAACATGGTGTAAAATTTAAAATATTTGTGAATATGAAGTACTATGGGTTTTTTAATACTAACTTTTCCTTTTCTGTATCTGCCCCTTCAGAAACAGGCTGCATTAAAAGACAATCAAATCAGTAACCGCCAGATGAGACACCCCAGCCAAGGTCTAATTCCCAGAGGAAAGATTTTTAATGTTTCCAAAGCATGAATGCTGCTCCCTTAGAGGTGTGATTTAGAGCCAGTGGAACAGCAATGAAAAAGTCTGTGAGACAGCCAGGGAAAGACTAAGTCTGTGGAAAAGGAGAACACCTCAAAGACTTTACGGCAAATGATCACATGAAGACTCCAAGAAAATGAATGCTCCAGTGCTTAAGTTAGCACACATGCTGTTTTGATTAAAGCAAAAATCAGAAGAGCAGTAAAACTTAATGTAGCTCAGAAAGTCTTCTAGCTCACAGAAAGGTATTCACCACATTTCCAGCAGAGCACATCTCTCAAAGCCCTGTCATGATATGTATTAAAATACAAGACAACATTCCCACAGAAGAGATCCCATCTCCAGCACTGTGGCGAAAAAAAGACACAGCCTTTGGTTTTCCCCAGGATTTGCCTTTATCCCCTCTCCAGGTAACGTGCTTCAGCTTCCAAGGAACTTCCAACTTCTCCAGTACTGACATCAGGGTTCATCATCTCATGGACGGAAACACAAATTGCTGACAAAAGTTAATACTGTGCTCTATATTGACTTTGGCAAAAATCCATCCTAATTTTTGACAGCAAGAGCAAGATAGGTTTTGGATGGGTTTTTTTTATCCAGCAGAGCTTCTCCACTTTGCTGTAGTACAGCGGTATATCCCATGAGTATTGCCTGTTTTCACAGTTTAAGTAGCTCATGTTAAGACCAGCATGCTTTTCTCATTTTATCACATCCCCCAGATCCACATTTTCTATACAGCTCCAGATGAAATGACTGGGGGCACACTGTTATCATAATCACATTAAGAGACTTTGGAATTGTATGAGGCATAAAATCTCATAATCAGGCAGCACTGAAATCTGAGTCTGATGAATAGTCAGCTTGGCTGAAAGTACAAGGCACACAAATAAAACAAAGACTAAACAGCAAAGCAACGGACTATGAGGCCTCTCAGTGAGAGCAGATTTAACTCTAAACAGGGATACAAACTTTCTGCTACAGATTAATCCACCCATTCATGCTCTAATTAATTTAGTTCATTTTCCAATAAGATTATCAAATTTGCCAGACATTGCACAAAAGTTGCCCAGTAGGGCTTAGTCTTTTTGACAGTCCCAAGCCCTTGCTCTTTCTGACTGAAGTCTTTGACGTGGAAATTTAAAAATCTGTTTTCCAGGAAATTTTTTGCCTGTAATTTATGGAGAGGGAAATGCCATAGCATTCGTAAGTACAGGATTTTTCATGTAGTGTCAGAGGATGTTAGATTATTCCTTGCGCAAGCTGAGGAATGGAAAAGGATTGCCATTAGGGAGACATTCCCACACACTTAAAAGAAAACATCTGTCTATTTAGGAGCATGGAGGAACCTTTCAGTCTTGCCACTGAAATTCAAACTGAGATTGGCCACAAGAAAGAATGCAACATCCACTAACACCATTAAGGGGTAAACACTTTCAGTTTGGCAGGGCACTGAAGCACTCACTGTCTGGAGCACCAAAAAGGTCCAAGTTTCTTTTTTGTCCACTCCTGTACCATTTCAAATACTTCCTAGAAGAATAAACTAACGAACATGGCTGACTTCTCAACAAAACAGATCTCCAGCTGGCAATTCACTATAAATACACATAAACTAAAGGCACTGCTATGTTTAATTACTCACTATTCCTGATTAAATGTAGCAATGTAGAAGGGTAGCTCCATTTTAAATGACATTAAAACCAAACAAATCAAAACAGCAACAAGAAAAAAAAAAATACCACAACAAACAACCCCCTGTACAAATCCACTAAAGTCTGACTTCACATATTAGGTTATCAGCCTGCAAAGACTTTCCATCATTTTTTTTCCCAGAGGCAAACTGCCCACCAAGCACAAGTAAAGGCTAAGGCAAACAATACTTTGACTCACAGTAACCACCTAACCAAGAAATCTAACTTAATTTAGTCAAAAAAATCTGTTCAAGTGAGGAGGAAAGGAGCAAGGCTGTAAAGAGACTCTTTAATGTGACGCTGCCTGTTTAACTGCAAACAGTAAAACCACAGCTTCAGCACAGACTTGAATCTTTTGAAGTATAATCTTAGACTGTGCAACTTAGACACCAAACAGCAGAGGTATGATCCATCCCATAATAAAATTACCTCTTGCAAAAAAGTAATTATACTCAAAATATGCTTATTGTAATATATGCTTATTTTAGTATTTGGCAGTAAATAATTTTGCATTAAATGCCTGCTACTTCCTTGAGGACTGGGGCAAGGCATAGAGCTGTTACTGGGTTTCACACTTCGTTATGGAGGGTATTTATGCTTTTTAAAAGTTCAGTCACAGAAACTGAACTTTCAGTTTCTGAAACGGAGACAGAACCATGTGTATCGTGGAAATCTTCCCTTTGATTTCCATGGGTATTCACTCAAGCTGAGGAGTGGCAGAGGCCACAGGTGTTCACTGTGGCATTTTCTCCTGACTTCAACCCTTACCTCACTACTTCCATTTGCTGTGCCTTGTTTCTCCCTGTATAAACCCCAACAGCATTCAAAGCACGTGTCCCAGTGTCTTTGTTAGTCTGTGGCGACAAGGCAGAGCATTTTGAGGAACTGAACCCCAAAATGATCAAGATTAAAAAAAACCAGAGAATTAAAAAAGAGAGATTAAAAAACATGGACTCCCAACTGCATTCATCTGGCTTTGAAGAATTTCTCCTTTGTAATTACTTTTCTCACAAATGTTGATGTCACAACAAATATATGAAGAGCAATAAATCCCAGCATAAGGACGCCAACTCTTTTACAGCACTGAAGATGCAGGTGTGTTCCAAACCATTCTAGTTTTCAAAGTACTGCCTTTTCCTGAATAAAAACGTGAAGTGACAAACAACTAAAACAAATTAAATAATTTAAACAAAAAATATAAACATATTTTTTGAAATCCAGCTTGTACTTCACTTGATTTTGTTATATTCTTCTGCTTAAGACTCCTCAAAGAATTTCAACTTATTCATTACTCATGTAAGTGGTCCTAATGATTTTACTAGGACTACTAACATGGGAAAAAAACCTTATACATACGTTTCAACAAAAAACACATGGGCTACAAATGGAAAAAAAGCTGAGCTGTAGAACAGACCTGGTTCTAGCACTTCAGGATGAGAGAGACAAAAAACAAAGGGCACACTGTTTTTCAGTTGACACTGACACACATTAATAAATACAGCCAACTGTGAAGGATGATCAAATCTGAACCTGAATAAGAAACATTTTCACCAAATTACTGCCTACATGATAGTATTTAACCATCAAAACTTAGTTATTTTCAGTTTTTATGTAAAAGAACCAAAACACAATTACATTATGTCATGATGAATTTATTAGCAAAACCACCAGATGTGTCCGCACAGTGGAGCCAATTAAAGCTGTTCCCCTTCCCATTATCCTTTTACACAGTCAGACTACACTGAAATAGCTGCTGCAAACAGTAACCAAGATACTGAAATGGAGCTATTACCAAGAGGAGAGAGATGCTTTCACAAGTTATCACTGTTCATGAGTGAGATTTTTTTTCAGCTCCTATTGAGTTTCTGACTTCAGGTTATTCAATGTGTCTGCAAGCTTTCAAACAGTCTTTTGTTCTTCAGAAACCAAGTGTCTAACAAGGAAAGCACCATGAACAAATTAAAACCTGTACAAAAATACTGATCTGTCTGAAATGGGGCAGTCCGATAAAACTAAAGAGTATTAGTCCAGAAAGAAAAGAAAATTTACTCCGGATTTACACAGGAGTAGTACGTTAAGTAACTGAAAAATTTTCTGAAGAAACTTTTCACCTCATAATCCAAAATATTTTTAATGTGTCTGGAACCAAAATGGTATAGGTAGGAATTTAAAGAGCCCTATACAGAAACAACATGGAGATATATTCACGTGCAAAACTTTTAAAAACTCTCTTGACTAGCTGCCAAGTCCTGAAATTCAGATTACTTGTCTTCTATCATAAATTACAATTTTAAAATGAAGCACCTCAGCTTTCAGGCAGATTCCTGAGAGCCACCAAAATGCATCTCTGTACACTGGAACCAGGCCGGTGCTAAACGGGTTTAGTCTCCAACAAAGCTACCATCAGTTGTCTTCACTTCACTGAGACCGGGGACAAAGACTGTCACAAACTTCAGCGAGCTCATCACAGTGAGGGCCGTAATTACCAACACCGTTAACGTGGAGGCAACGATGTTGCTGCTCAGCCCTTACCAGGAAAAGACTGATTAGGCTGGAAGAAAAATGCTGGGGACTGGTCGGGGAACAACACGAGGAGAAAGTTCTTGCGGAGCCGGCAGAACTTTACATACCCGCGTTCTGCCAGCCACACTTTCCCACGTGGGTCGCTGGCATAACAGAGCAGAGGAAGCCAGGAGCGGCTGCACGCTAAAAAAAAACAGCGCTGGAAACCACCCCAGCCGGGAAGCAGGCGTACGGAGGGCTCTCTTCACCTGCAGGCACGGGGGTCAGCTACTCGGCCGCTCCCCAGCCGGGATTGCATCAGCGCCGGCGGCGGCTCCGCCAGGAGGGCCGCTCCCGCCCCGCAGGACGGCAGGGCCGGCTCGGCAGCGGCGGGGCCGGGGTGCCCACAGCTCAGCCGCCAGCCGCGGGGCCGCGGACCCGCTCACACCACGGGGTTGGGGTGGGACGGAGCGGGAGGGTCCGGACCTTACCTGGGGATGTACCTCGCCTCGTCCCCGAGCCGCACCTCGAAGTCCTTCCAGGGCTGTTCCAGCCCCGCGGCGACCCAAACCGCTGCCGCCTCTGCCTCCTCCATGTCCTCGCCCCCCGGCTCGCTGCCAGCGGGCTGCGGCCGCGTGGCGCCGCGGAAGCCTCGGGCGAACTCCGGGAAGGTGATGGCCCCGTCCCGGTCGCTGTCGAGGCGCTGGAAGATGGCCTCGGCCTCGGCCGGCTGCACCCGCAGCTCGGCGCAGAGAGCAGCGAAGTCCTCCCGCTCGATGCGGCCCGAGCCGCTGGCGTCGCACGCCAGGAAGAGGGCGCGCAAGCGGGACAGCTCGTCCCTCGCCGCCTCGGGATCCATCGGCCAGCGCCGGGGGCGCGGAGACTCCGACCGCGGACCGAACGCGACGGCACCGGGTGGGCGGCTGTCCTACCTGCGGCTCAGCGGGGCGGGCCGGGTCCTGCTCCGCCCCGGCGCCCCGTGGGGCCGGGCACGGCCGGGAGGCGGATCGCAGGTGGCGGCTCCTGGCCAGGGCAGGTCCCGGGCAGGGCTGGCGGCACCCTCGGGACACCTGGCGGGTCCCGAGCCGGCAGCGGCCCCGCTGCCCCCCGGAGTGTAGGGGACGGGGCTCTCCTCGGGCCCAGCGTGTTGCGGACGGCACAGGTAACTAGAGAGCAACGTAGGGTGTGAAAACATGTGTTACCCCCCTGCAGCACTCCAATGTGAGTCCTAATACTATGCGGACACTGTAAGGTGTTAAACCTAACTTCCGTTTACCAACATAGTAAAAATACTCTTCACGTTCATGAAAGACCCAGAAGCCACATGATGACACAACGTTTGAACAGATGAATTCTCTCTGGCACGAATAGTCTTGGAGTTATACCTTGTGGGTATGTGCTCACAGATGTCTCACCACCAGTGATTTAGAAATGTAGACTGTTAAAATACCATCTTAAACTGGAAATACAGAAGATATATTCAAATCAATAACCCAGAGGAGACAGCTTTTCAGTGCTTTGTGAAGAACTAGTGTCTTTCTTGACAGAAGTCAAGATCTCTTCCTTGTTGAGGTCAGATTCAAGACTCAGATTCCAATTGAATTTAAGGGATGTTTTTAAATTATTATTTATTCCCCTACGCTTATTCTTGTTAACGTCTATCTGCAAATGTAAATTGTGTTATACCACAGTTGTGATAAACAGACTACAAATCTAGCGGTCAAAACAGCATTTCCCTGTTGACCAAAACGTAGTCTAATTATGTGATCTAGCAAAGCATAAAAAGTCCATCTTACCTCTCCTCAGAATGAAGCACATACTGTAAATTGGAATAATCAACTGCTCCTTTGCCTAAGATGTGGAATGCCCTCAAAGGGATTTTTTTTTTTCAGCTTTTGATTATTAACCCATCAGGATTAGGCAGACAGCCAACAGTCTTTCTCTAGACAATAAAGAGTTTCATAAAATGTTCCCCACACTTTAAGGAAATATAGCTGTTAAGCAATTTGAAATATAAGTTTTAGCTTAAAAGTATGAGATAGCAGAAAGACTTAAATTTATGATTTTACACATTTTCTTACATTTCCACCACACAATTGCGAAATTACTAATAATAGTAAAGTGGCTCATCATCAGTTTCTTAGTGTTTTAGTAAGCCAGAATTAATTTAACAAAAGTATTCTTCCTGTTCTATGGTCTTTTATTTATCCATCAAATTTTTATAACTAAAGTGTGTCAGAGAGCCCTTAAGGGGTTGATGAAGGGTTATTCAGCCATCAAAAGAGAGAAACTTCTCTTGTATATACAACCCAGCTCTGTTTATAGGAGCTGAGACATTTGGCTTTCAGAGTGGACAAGCTCATGAGATGAACTGGAACAGCCTCATCCAGGTCTGAGTGTGTCTGACTGGCCAAACAGGGAGTTCCCGCTCAAATACAGGGAGTTCCCGCTCAAATCAATGTGTTCACCTTTTTTTTTTTTTTTTTTCTGCTGGGTTATGAGTTGACATTGGTCAGCTATCCTACCCACTCTTTTATGTACTCTTGTATCTTTAGTGGTAGTCACTACTTTGGACTGCTAAGCATAGACTTTGGACAGGTAATCCCTGTTGGCTTTTTTTCCTTTTCTTTTTCTGTTAGAGGAGTTTTGTCACACAAATCTCAGGTACTGGCATGAAGCACAGTGTATGATTTAGCAGTGCCATGGCATAGGTATATTCTGCAAAACAGATAATCCTTGCAATGGTTCATGCTTGCATGGTTCATGATACTACACAGCCCATGCTTGCTTGGCAGGCCATGGTTTAGTTGAATAGTTCTGACACAAATGCACAAAGATAATGAATGGTTTATTTGTTAAGACCAAAGAATGGTCTTAATGGACCAAAGAGTGGTGAGACCAGGATTACCAGCAGGAAATGGCATGCTTTCTTCTGAAATCATGTCCCTGTTCTTAGAATGACCTGCTCTTCAAATCCACTCTAAATTAAATAAATATGCAAATGCAAGGCACTCTTTATGTGCCATAGTACTCTTAATCTCTTAAATTCATAAGAGAAGTTTTAAATTCATGCATAAGATACTGAAGACACAGGTATACCATGCATTCAATTCTCAGTCTATCATCTGTTTTGCTTCACTGTGCCATGAAACTCACAAGCTAGCCCAAGCATTTATTTGGCTGAACAGGCAGAAGAGAAAATTAAATCATTCTTAGGAGCTTTAGAGAGACCTAAGGCAACAGATGAACAAGAAAGCATTCATTGTATCACTACTAAAGTGTCCTGTTTTACTGAGTGGGAAAAAAGTGGATTTTGACACTGTTTTAGAGAGAGAGGTTAAATGTTACAGATTGGAAGAGACAGGTTAGTCAGAAAAGAAAGGCTGGCCACACATGATATCTATTGTGCCAGTAAGCAAAAGAGCAGAGGAGCTGAGCTGACCACCAGGAATGCTATTTGAATGCATGTGGTCTCTGAAGATAGCTATGCAGTGCTATGCAGAAGCCCAAAAAAGCTGGACTGCTGTGCTCCAGTCAGATTCAATGCCTGAAGTAACAGCCCTCTTCTCATCCCTCTCTATATGTTGTCTTAGGTACCTTACCTACATATTAAAGGAAGATTTTTAACTCGGAGCATCAAGCATTGAAAAGTTAGGAAATAGAACATAAATTGGAAAAATTATTCACTGATTTACTTTTCATCATTATTGTTTGTGGACTTGGGCATTATCTGCAATGTCATCCATACTATTCTGGTCTTTTACTAAGGACAGAATGTATATTTTTTAATATTTTCTGCATACTTTTACTAAATTTCCCAGCATTAGGATTGGCTAAGAAAGAAAATTTATCCCTCTCTGGTTGCGTATACTCTCTTATTCACCTTTTTCTGTTTTACATTAGGACAATTTAAGCAGTTTAGCATAAACTCTGCAATCTACTTGGAAAGCACATGACATCAAGAGAGCATAAATCAAATAGAATCAACCAGTGATATTGAAAACAGTTCATATCACACACAGGTATCCTATTAACTACAACACCCTAAAAACTAATTATATAAACCTTCTCCAATTTCTTCCCCTCCAACACAAACTCTATCATCTCTACAAGTCACTATAGATCTCAAAACATCACAACTCCAGTGTGGCACTCCATCTGTGCCACACTGTACCTTTTGTACCTACTTGGTACCAGGACTTCTTCCTCACCCCTATCATCAGGAAGGGAAGCACAGTGTGCAGAGGCACGTGAAGGACAAGGGGAGAGGAGGGAGGTGGTGTGCAGAGCAGAGTGTGGGAGTTCTCCAGGAGACGGGCTGTGATAGTAGTTCTTCCTACTGGTTTCCATTTTCTGCCATTCTCTTATAGTATCTCCCATTGCACTCTATATTACTTAGATGGCATTTTCTTTGCTTTGATGCATCAAAATGTGCTTTGATGGCATTTAACTAACTGTTTACCTGGTTCTATCCTGGCATGCACTTTATGTGAAACACATAGGATAGGTGCACATATTAAATGCCAAGTCTGACCAGATCATAGAACATTTCTGCATGCTCTCATTCCCTGCTGCATAATTTTTAGTACTACTGAATATGATTCACCTTCAAAAAGGTGAATCTATGTCTTTAAAAACTTAGTCCAGGAAATTAAAAAATAATATTTTGAGAGAACACAATTTTGTGCTTTGACTTTGTGATAAAATGACCAAAAAAGTGACAATAAAAGTTTTTTGTCTAAGAAGAGATACATTTAAAAGCAAAAAATATTTCTCAGGATATACAATTTTTTTTTTTTAATTCTCCTAAACAGTTATCAGTTCAGACAATGAAGTTGTAAAAGACCCTCATGGTATTATAACTCTTTAACAAACTCCAGATGATGACTCCAGATCATGAAGTATAAATCTTTCAGATGAAGAATCTTCAGCATGGAAAAGACAAAAGTGACCCTTGATGTACCCAAAGGAGATTTTGCAGAAATTATTAAGTATTGGCAGTCTTTTTAAAAGCTTGTCTGTATGATCAACTGAATATCCATGGAGATGCTGAAATGACTGATAATGACTGCTGGGCCTAGTTTGGACATGTTAGCTGTCACCCTCATGCTGCTCTAATGCTCACCAGCCCCCAAAAAATAACATTAAAAGACTGTTCTAAAGACATGTTATTATATTGCCAATTCTCAAAATCTGTAGTGTTTTTGAATAACAAAAGCAGCTAGCAATAAATACCGATGAATTGCATCATTTATGGGAAGTCTTCCTTGATTTGGGTAGTCTACATAGTTTTTTTTCAATTCTAATAGTCAAAACCAAATCATATCTACTGATGAAATTTCTTTGTTTGTAAAGAAATGGACATCTCAAAATGCAATTCCCTATGTGCAAATCCTGTTAACAATGAGCACTGCTGAAAACAGATAGAAGTGTCCTTTTCAGGACAGAGATAAACAGTGTTAGGTTAAAAAGACATGTCTCCTTCCAGTTAGGATTAGCTTTGACCTTTTTCTGCAAAATGATGCCAAAGCTCCTTTAAAAACACAGTAAGGTCCAGGTTTCCCTTGCAAACACAATGTCACTGTTTCACCCTCTACCTATCTCCCTTTCTTGCTCAATGTGTTGGAACATTTCCCCAGAAGCAGAAGATTCAAGTTTAAATCACTGCCTTGCCTGAAGAAAATTAAGGTTACCTTCCTTTTTCCTCATGCAAATGTTCGAACCACAAAGGTACGTCAGGGAGTGATGGAATTGAGAAGCACACAGCTGCTCAAAGCCACTGTGCCAAGCATCTATGTTTTACAGTGCATTGTAACTAGACAAAAATATTCTTTCATGAAAATGCTAGATGACAATTTTCCATATGCTAGTTGGTCTCTAATCCACCTTTTATTTCTCTCTGTCTGGTCCAA